GAAACAATATTTGTTTCTTAACTACTAAATGCTATTTATTGCCATTTTCAACATCTTTTTACTAATTTTCTAAAACTTTTTATCAGCCTCAAGTTAGCCGAATAATTCACGAATGTACTAAAACCGAGGTTAAATGACGGTTGCATTGGAAAATATGCTTGTTCCAGTTTTTCTTGAAAATGGAGCTTACACATTGAATTCTTAAATGGACAATTGCTTACTAACGAAGAAAGCATATCGACTTACATCACTCAGTGCTGGAGAACCTGCCTTATTTTCATTGAATCGGTCCATATTAAAACGACAAGTGCTAGCACAGTGCGTGGTGAGAACTAAGGGTTTGCGCGGCATACATTCTACCGCCACTTTCGTCAACTTGGAATAGAAACATCGTCTGAGCATGATGAACTCCGAAACAACAATTGGAAGCTGATCACCTGGCAATGCGATAAGACACATACGCGCAGTTAGTACGAAGTGCACGGGCAGTTTCAGTGCCCTTGTAGTTCTTGCAGAATTCCAACGCTCTGCTCTTTCGATAAAATCTTATGGCTCAAGTGGCAATAAACATCATATCATGGCGGCATGGCTGTAACTTCTTATGACACTGTCATCTATAGAACGATGGGAGATTCGTCTTGCATCTTCAGTGGCTCCGCCTCTGAACTTGTTTTTTATCGCATGTCATGTATATCACAACAACATGATCCGATATGACTTAATGTACGACAAGTGTACGTACTCACGGTTAGAATTAAGTCTGTAAAAACATCTACAGAATAAAGGATGTAGTGCTGATAAGTTTAAAATTATAGACGTCCACTTGCATCCAATAAAAATGCACACCGGCAATGAAAAGACGACGATACACATATGAAGAAAAGGCAATCGACGATGGGTGTTTGTACAACATTCCATTTTGTCCGATCAGCTGAGTCAGTCATAAGAACACTGGGTTGGTTTGGCATCGAGCGGCATTGTTTCCATTGGCACGACACGATGAAGGCTCTGAAGAACAGTTAAGTAGGGAAAAGATGATCTGGCACTAAAACGAACTGCAGAATAAAAAAGACCAAACACTGCTCTGGTTACAATACTCATCAGTCATCTATCACAATTCACTGCAATCTTAGCTCATTCATTTCACGTTCACAATGCGTAGAATACTCCACCGCCCATATAATAACAGCCGCTTATTTCTCAGGAACACATAGTGCACCACAAATTGATGGGAAATGAGGTCGGTTAACTGGTTAACAAGGACTCAAACTATGTGCTTCGTCTAGGTGTCAAAGGAATAGCTTTTCCTATGTACATACCTCTGCCCACGGATCTCTCTCATAAAGGAATCTCATGCCAGTCAGCCGGGAGACAAGGCGGCGCGTCCCCAGCTGGCGGATGGGTGGGCGGTCACTGACCAAAAGCGACTTTTGCTTCACTGAGACGCAAGGGTAGATTCAGGGGATAGACTCCTTGTTTCCGCCGCGCAAATTTGGCACATATCTTCTGCATTTAAAAAGAGGTAATCTTGAATGCGTGAGTAGGTGTGTACTCATTTATGTTGATTGTATTCCACAAGTCAATTCAACCAAAAGCCTGCACTCAAGTGACAGAGAAGTGTATGGGAGGCGGTTAAGAGTCGCCTCCAACAAGTAAGCTCCATATCCACTCTGGGAGAGCCTAGCAAGCTACCCATGAGTATACCCAGCCCCCACGTTCACAGCTCAGCAAACTATATATGGGTATTAAAAAGCCAAACACAGTAAAAGAAAGAGGCATCATCCCCTGAACCCGAAAGAGCCCCAATTCTGCAGCGTTGGGTAGGGCGAGCACGGAAAAGCCGCTAGAATCTCAGGGCTATTCTGTGCTGCCTAAATCGCAAACGACTAAGGTGAGCACACGTGCACTTGAGTGCTCGATAGAAGAGTTGATCACGTAAGCAAGGACGACGCCAACCATTAAACGACTTCTATAACACTGGAGAAGAGCTGTTAATCGAAACATGTGACAGTAGTGGAGTCGGCGGTGTCGGTATTCTCGTCAACACGAGTTTGGCCATGAAGATCGATTCCTTCGAACAACTTACAACTCGAATCGGACTTTTACGATTAAAAAGATGTGGATCAATTCCGACTTTGACAATCTTCGTCGTTTACGCGCCGACATGAAACTATGACGAAGAAGAAGTCGAAGCGTTCTATATGGACTTGAAGAAGTTCTACAGAGAAGGCCATTCTTCAAGGTCATCATGGGAGATTTCAACGCCGAGATTGGACCAAGAAGAACGTCTGAAGAACGTCACATTGAGACCCTTGTATTAGAATGGAATGAACAGGGTGAGCGGCTCTCTGAGTTTATCATGACAACAAAGACCACTCACAACCACTTCTACTTCGTCGGTTAAGAATTGAACAACATCAGGTCCGGAAAGGATAAGATCTGAACACCTTAAAAACATTCGGCTAGCCTCAGCAGCACACTGGTTCGGCTCTTTACACGCTACCTTTCTGAACGCAAAATTCTTATTCAATGGATGACCGGCATGACTGTGCTATTATTCAAGAAGGATGACTTTCAGGATTTCGGCAACTACTACCAAATCTGTCTCTTGTCTATTGTTTATAAAGTGTTCACTCTTCGACAGGATTGTCAGTACACTAGAGACGAACAGCCATTTGAATAAGCAAAATTTCGAAAAGAATGCGGTACAATAGATCACATTCACGACATTATGAGACTCACCGAGTATCGCGATTATTAAACAGATAGCTCTGACTCACTTAAACCGATTTAAGGAATTGTGCGCGCTCGCCCACTTTAACAAAGCTTGTGGGAAGATTGCTCTTCGACGAAATCTCACAGAAACGATCAACGGGATCGATCTGGGGAACGTAAATCCGCATTGATAAGCCACATGCTAAGATATTTGTAAAAATCCGGAGCGCAAGTGTCTGCGGGCGGGAACGAACACTTCAAATTCTGTTGACGGGTGATTGTTGATGGTACTGATAGATAGAAAACTAGTTGAGGGACCGCGAAACGAAGCAGAATGCATCAGCCCCTGGAAAGGGTAACAGCACGGTCGATTTCCCCAGCCGACACCAGTGGTCCGGGTTTTGCAAAAATCTTAGCATCATTATGGTTGTATTTCATACGATAGCCCGCTCTGGAAAATTGTAATAGGCAACAAGGTCTTAAAAAAGAGCTAACAGATGTATATCTACGTCGAAAAGTCAATATGAGAACGACATAGTTCAAGAATTTTGCCGAAAGAAGAAAGCGGCTCAGGAAGCTTTCAAGAACGTCGAGGATGTTGTAAACAAGACTACGAAAACGGAACTCCGTGTCCATGTTTTCGGCTCCACAATTTTTCCGGCTTCAACTCAAACACCGCAAACTTCATCGCTACGAAAGCTAGATGAAATTAGCGTTATCGAAGACACAGTAGAAAGATCGATGCCTGAATAATGCATTTACGCACATGGGTTACCTTTTATCACCGTTAAATGCCAGTGAGAACTGACCGAGTCACAGACAGCTAACGGATTGAACAACTGCAAAAAGGACTAAGAAAAAGATCTGATTCCTATGAAGCACTAAAACTGGCCAGATAGAATGGGCACTATGTCTGATACAAATTTAGTCAACTGTATGTCCATGACGAGGAATCCTCTAGTCAATAGTGTGAAAAAATTACTACGGTCAGAACGATGACTCCCATATACAACTTCAAATCCAGTACCACCTTTAATCATGCCACCGTCACCTTTCAGTGCCTCATCTGAAGTGATACGATACCTTCTCTCATCAGTTCTCATTCAGCACAGGGTTGAAACAATATCAGACCTAAGTATGCATAAAATCTTCTCCCTACGTGATTTTTCAAGGTGTTCAGGAGAAATTCAGCGCAATACCAAAAACGGCTTCTTAAGAATACTGGCATAGCAATAGTAACTGTTCAAATATTTAGCTTGTTTGTACTGAAAACAAAGAGCATAAAAACGGCCAAAAGTTTACTGAGACGCGACCTATGAACACCATTTCATTCTTCCTTACATTCACAGCGACCGGTGAAAACCAAAGCTCTACTTAAAGTCTTGAACATCAAAGGTGATAACCATTCTAAGCGAGATTCTTGGTGAATTGCAGAACACCTCGAAGTTTACAATAGTGGCATTCTACCACCACGTTTTTAAAAAGAGTGAATGGAGAGTTCCAGAGTGAGGTTTAACAGCTAGCAACCGCCATAGGCGAAAACGGAATCCCATGAAGAGGATAACTGCTGACATTTGACTCTTATTTCTCTAATCCATATTCTCTCATGCTACATTTGTCCCCTGAACAGTAGAAAATGGACTGTAGTTACGGTTGTTAGCGTAAACCTAAATGAAGCTTTTAGCTACAACTGCACGTTTTTAATCAGGCAGAAGAAAGTTTTGCTCGTTTCTTTTCCATAATGATAGGGCTGAGCACATATGATCTCAATTCTTGCTGCCTTAACATGAAATGCGTTTGCCTCGTTTAGTTTCATCAGTTTGTTCCACATTTCGTGTGTGTTTCAATGCGCGTGTGGCTCAGTGATCAGAGTCACCCTACGACACACGTGGAATCGATTCCCGCGCCCATGGCCCACCAAGCCTTTCATTCCTCCGGGGTCAGCGAATTGGTAACAGACTTGACTGAGAGGATAACACTGGCTCGACACATCGGTAGATCACCGTGAGTCATTTTAAAAGCCAGATATGCGTTCAATCACCTCCAAACGATGCTTAATAAAGTCGAATGCATGGTACATAACTCAGGGATTGATCAACGCCGTGAACTTTGTCCTTTAACCTCTATGCACATTTTATATTCGAAAAAACCACATGTATCAGATGGCACATGATGTAGATTGCATCGCAATGCAACTATGGTAATTACGAGTATAATAAAATTTCAAGCTTACCACAGTTCCTGACTACAATACAGAGCAGAACTTTTTTTTTACCTCACTTTTTCTAAAGATTCCTCTCTCTATTTCCCACACCTCCTACCTCCAGAGCGATTTCTGTCATCCCATGCGCGACGTCAGAGAGAGCCTCGTTCTCTTCCGCGCAGACTGTAGGTTGCTTGTGAAATTCTGTGGTGTTCTCGCCTTCCTTCTGGGGCTGCTTCGTCGCCGAAGACTCTCTGTGACCACTGGATGATTTTGGAGATTTGTTTTCTTGCTTCTCATGCTGAACAAATTATTGATTGAAGGTTAAATTTACCTGCAATCTTCTTTTCTTTTTAGGAACTCTAGAAAATACTTAGAGGTGCTTCGTTATTCGATATGATTGCGTACAATTAAATCTAACCAACTAATGATAAATAAATCAAGGGTAGTGAATGAAAATAAACAAGAAAAAAGAATTAAGCAGACAATATGGGATTTTTGAGCCCTTTGAGAAAGCATATATCTTACACAAAACCGATAAATGAATGGGTAAATAGTAAATAAGAAGACTATTTTGTGATTCAGAAACAAAGTCAACATAGGAAATAATTGAAGCCATCCCGTAGCAAAGATGTACGATAAAATATTTAAAAAAACTTTTGTGATTCCAAAGAATATAAAAGGAATAATAGGTAACTACGGAAATCTCGCTATCTTTAGGAATGAAGATATTCCGTTGAGCAACTCCTTCAGTGAGCCAGAAGCAACGAACAACGTGGACGTCGTCGTCGTCGTCATTGTCCGCGTCGTCCGGGATGCCAATACCCACCTCGCCGGCACCCAGTCCTGGGCAGGTGCCATACCCGAGCGGCTTCACCGTGCCGGTCGTCTCGCCTAGGTGACCACTGTCCCTACGATGCACGTTCGTCACGTCATAAGATTGACTGTTGCCCATACCCTCTGATCACTGCGCGCTACGTCTGAAAGGTTACAAGCGTCATCCGACTACCCATGAAATTAGACACATACATCACGAATAAAACGTACTTAAATGTTAAAACAAACGAAACAGCTAGCAAAACTATTTATTTGGAGAAATTTGAATAAATAGAGGAATCGACAAGGTAAGATCGGATCTGTCTAGAATAAGGCAAACTTACCACTTCATCAATACGCATCCGTGTGGATTCGAAGTTATTGTAACACGCCAAAGTACTTTCTTGATTAATCGAATAGACTGTCATTTCACACTAATGAGCACTTAACGAACACTAGACGAACTAACGAAAAGTCCAGATTAAAACACTGGAAAATTAGACAATTCGTTAAGTTCTGTTTAGAAAAAGTGGCAAGGAGCAAAAACCGTCCCAAGACAAAGTCAAGGAATGTAGCACCAGAACTGGCAGAATGTTGGCGAACTAGGAAATAACCAGGAAATCTAAGAGGTTTATCCTCAGCATGTGTTTGAAAAATACGACCTTTAAGCAACATGAATGGAGAAATTACAGTGTACTTGACTAAAGGTTACACCGAATAACGACTGAAGAAACGAAAAAGGACGATGTAGGAGCTGAGCAAGATCAATATGGGTATATCAGCTTTAAAAAGAACGATGCAAAGTCCAAGGGTATTTTAAACAGGCGATGACTATAAAAAAGTGCTACAGAAATCTACCTATGACCAGTCAGCAAAAAAATGGAGAAGCAGAAAATAAAGATAAGCCAAAGAGATTTAAAACTGTAAGGTACTGAATATGACAATAAAGTTATTGCAAAGCTTAAAAAATTAGGAAAATACCCAGTGTAGACGCCAGCTAGTTCGTAACCACCTATGTGGCAGTCTACATCCAACGGAAAATTCCGTAATAAGCTCTAACAGTAGAGACGGTGATTGCACAAGTTCGAAAACATTCGTCGGCTACCGTCTCCATATCCTCTCAAAATCACATATTATCTGGCGGAAGACTGCTCTCGCAAACATCCTCATTCCCTTCTTGTTATTGTACGAATGATGACTTTTGGACAGTAATAACAAACAATGAGTTCAGATTGCAAAAATAGGTTTGCATAACAAGATTGTTTACAGCGAACGAAGTTCGTAAGGATGGGATCGAAATATTTACGTATTACGACATTTGCTAGGCAATTTGGGAAATAGTGGATATGATCCTTACTACTGAAACATACAGTAGTAGAAAGATACAAATAAATATGGAAAGAAATAGAAACTATTCTGGGAATAGTTGCTATAACGCATGACCTCACCTTAAGATGATTTTATGATCTAACCTGAGGACACCCCTCGGCCATGAACGTCCCTCCCAGGTGCTCTCAGCGGTTGCTTTCCATCAATTAACTGGAAAACATACAACGAATAAGACGCTGAGTGACCATCGACTCGGATCATCGGCTCTGAGGAAGACGAAGACGTCGAAACGTTAGCCGAAAATAAACATCATTATCAACCTCGTGTAAGCTCATCAAAGAAAGAATACATATTGATTAGTGATACCGAGGTTCAATGTTTAAAAAAAATGTTTATTATGGGAACGCAAATTTATGTGTTAAGTCCTATCTGCTAGGGTCACGAAAGTGTTTGGCTGAGTAGATTGTATGTCAATTTAACCTTTCTGGGCTCTGGAGTAGGCGAAATCTCTGAAACCTCAGCTATTCTGTACCAATAAATTCCATAATACAAACCTCGTGCTTGCTCATTGAAGAAAGGCTCTGGAAACACTCACTGTTTTCTTGATAAACAACATGAGGCTATTATCACAATAGTTGAGGTTTCAACGGATTTCGCCTTTTTAAGACCTTGGAAAGGTCAAGTTAACCACAAACATGGCAGAGAAATGCCTCCATTACCTTAACAGAAAAAACCATAATGTCTAGATTTCAATCCCATTAAGTACAATGCAGCTTGTTCACATATTCAAAGTTTTCCACGAGTCTTCTACTGACTCGTTTATTCCACGTGGAAACGACTCGTTTAAAGTTAACATGGATGGGCAATGCGCCCCTCTCACGTAAGCAAACATTTCGATCACATAAAACCTTGAAATCTAAACAACCGTCTTGTCAATATTGCACGCTTAAGACAGAAACGGATAAAACATTCTAACACTTACGAAAAACAACTTTAATTATAGAAACTGTGGTAAAATAGAAAATAAAGGGATAAAATAAAGGATAAAGCCTTCGTTGTTGATCAATCCCTGAGGGATGCGCCATGCATTCGACTTCAACAAGCAACGTTAGAGGTGATTGAATGCATATCTGGCCTTTACAATGACTCGCGGTGGCCTACCGATGTGTCGAGCCAGTGTTATCCTCTCAGTCAACTCTGGTACCAATTCGCCGACACCGGAGGAATGAAAGGCTTGGTGGGCCATGGGCGCTGGGATCGATTCCACGTGCGTGTTGCGCTGAACCGCTTTTGAACCAATCTAAATTCCTTTTAATAATCTGAATACAATTTAAACCTACACTCACATCCATAAACTCTGAATGAAACGTCTAGTTCATCATACCGATAAGGTGAGAAATTCCTTCAAAATATAGATGATTGACCTGTTCCTAGTATTCCACTGGTTTCGAGTCAAAGAGCGTCTAAAACTTGCACCGGAATAGCTAACAAGCATATCACATTAACTTTTAGCAGTTTATTTCAGTAATCCCTATCTAGGGAATACACTTCTAATGTCTGGAAAAGGAAAATATTGAGCAATTCAATTCTACACGCCTGGATCAAGAGGCACATGTGGCGCAGTGGTCAGACGCGCTCTGAAACACATGCTGAATCGATCGCTTGTTCGATCCAACACTCCAGGCTCACCAAGCCTCCCATCCCCGTAGAGTTGGAGAATTGTTACAAGACTTCTCTGGGAAGGTGTTAAGATTGAGTTAACACATCGATAGCCTTCGCAAATCACCGCATATGTCAGATATGCATTCAATTACCTCCAGCGACGCTTAATCAAGTCGAATGCATAGTCCATTACTCAAGAAGTGATCAACGCTGGAGACTTTATCGTTTTAACCTTCATGCCTCAAAACAAAATTCAAACAATTCGATTGAATCAAAACAATCCATATCTTCACACCACTGTAATCCACTTCGCGTTAACATCATAATAGTCATAGAATTCAGAATTGGATTCAAGGCGAAAATTTAGCAGTAATTTTAGATACAGTATAAAAACTATAATATCCTCAAGAATTTTTTAAGCTAGAGAGAACACATCCATACAGAATAATCGCTTTTAGGCTAAGAGACCAGCATCAGAAGGTGAAGAAGTGAGTGGACGTGGTTCGTGTAGTGCTCCGCTCCTTCCTCTCCCTACATTGTCAATAGCCGTATAACGTGCTTTGCAAACATCACATAACCAACCGCATCATGAATGCAAACGATACGATGATTCAGAAGCCAATCACCTAGGCAGGAGTGAACGGGTATTTTTTTCACTTTGTATTCCCAGGTTGGCGTGATTACTAATTTTAGTGCTTGTTAATGGAACATTTCATTAGCATCGCCTGTGTACACGTTAACCATTACTTGACACTCATAAACACCTCCGCTGGTCTTTGTCTCGAGCGGAAGCCACCTAGTGAGTTCAACTCGCTTCAAGAGAGACAGAGAGCAGTAGTGCTTTTGCTAGATGAAATCCTGGCAAGTAGATCGAAGGACTCTGCCATGGAATGCGCGGTTTAAAACGGATACGCTGTTTGTCATTTCCTGAGTAAGCAAAGGATAGTTTTTTTTGCTAGAGGCGACTTGTAACCACCTCCCATGCAGTTTTCTTGCCACTCAATGGGCGATCGTCAAGGGCTTGATTAATTCGGAGTGGGGGAAACAATAAGAATGCACAAAGCACACCAACACACCAACACATGTGTGCATGGGTATCATTGTAGCAGAGTCCATTGTGCACATGGCATCTTTTGGTCACCTATTCTTCACTTAGGGATATGCCTCACAGTCTCGACAACGACCTTCTTCAAGATACCTCACATAAAGGAAGATTCGGGGAATGAAGGAATTGATGCCACAGATTATCATGTCCTTCTTTTTAATAAATTGACAAAATTACACAAAGTCGACAATAGTATAAACTTATGTTTGTTTAACAATGGTTTACAGAGGATCTCGTCCACCTTCAGAGTCTGGAAGCAGTCATTTCCAACGTGTACCCTACTCGAACAAGTACTCCTATGGTCCCAACGATGAGGAATCTCATGCAGGCTCATTGAGAATTTATTAAGCAATGCAGAGATTAACAACAAAAACCTTAATCCTAAGAACTCATATAGATACTAAGCGCAAATGGTGTTCCAGGAGAGTTTTTAAGGCTTCCAAGTATTCAGGTTACTAAACGTTCTGGAATAGAAGAATCAACGAGGCAAAAAGTCGTACGACGGAGATCTGCTGAAAGACACACTTTTCATCTGCAAACCATCGCGAATAATCTTCAGAAACATTCTTTATAAAAATCCGCATCAGTACTAGCAATTAATGATCAACTGCCAAATTTTCTGGATAGATATAAACTCTATGGTTTCTACCGATTGCGTGCAGTTGTAAGATCACTTTCTCTTCATAACAATTGCCTAGTCGTGAACTGAAAGCTAACTTGGACTCCATGCCAGATCGAACCACCATGGTTTTTTCGAGGGCTCGGGTTCTACAAACTACACCACTGAGGCCCCTTGCTTTGCCTTTCTTTCAGCTAGTTTTCGACCTAATGCGGCCATCAGCAATAACCTGTCCACGGGATTGGACACAGTGGTTCAGTGTGCAACGCGCGAGCACCCGGAAAGGGTAATCGTGGTTCGATATGACCTGGAGTCCAAGTTTTGCGAATATCTCGGCATCATCGTTCTTATATCTTACATCATACCCTGCCGTGAAAATTACAGTAGGCAGCAAAAAAAGGTTAACATTGAACGCTAACTTTTCAAAGATGATGTATGATCTCATTCACATTACGAAAGAGAAGCACAGTTTCAGAATTTCAATGAAAACATGAAGAACTACAATGATAAGTCAAATGAATCATTTGAGATGAATTCAGCGTTGACATTTAGCAAATTACTGCGAAAACCGCTGACTCAGTGTTTCTTAGCAGAATGCGAGTAGCGAATTACGGCTTCAAAACTTTTTTCTGAGATAAGAAAATGATAAAGAAAAAAGGGCAATCAGTCAACGAAACGAATAATGTCCATCTTTTAATCTATTGTAAACCCGTTGGTGAACCGTGGAGAAGTTTGCTTAGGGCAGGGGTTGAGGTGTGGACTTCTTATCAAAGTCTCAAAATCACAAATGTTTGACCGTCCGGTTGAAGATGGAGTTGAACCTGTCCACTGAAAAAGCGAATACTTGCGTTCTGGAAAGCGGCTGCTTGACGGCCACCGAGATGGAGAGCGACGAGTGCCGCCATCACGCTCACCCCGGACAGGAGACGATGACGTTTTTCCGTTCGCTATTATAAATGCACACCATTTGCGCATCGACGGTTGTTTCTAGCGATAACAACTATAAAAGCTGTGCCGCAAAACTAACGACCCCGTAAAGAAAATTAGTTGGATGTCTTCAAGGTGATGCCGAAGGCCGATGCACTCAGCACTTTCTGCTAAAGCCACTCATTCATTACGCTGGAAGGTAATGTTAACTGGGAAGCAATAGGAGAAAAACTATGGAATCAAATTAGCGACGAAGAAGTAGCAAACAGCGAATTTCAAAAACGCCATCTGGGAGAAATTTGATACAACCTCAAACATATGGCGCAATATTCACATCGTTTAAGAGGATGGAACAAGATTGGACTACCACTCTAATTGAATTCAATCATAAATTTTACAGCAGGCTTTCATGGCATCGGTGACACGCTTTGGATCTTCTTTAGAAGCGCTTCGATTCATCTATACCGTCTATATGGTGTTCTAGGTCGCTTATAACTAATTGATAAGGGATGAGCGTCTCCAAAATGAATAATTCCCAACAACATAAAATATTCATTGAAGACCGGGACAAATTCTTTGCTCTTCTAAAGAAATCAATTTCAGTTTCCTTTTTCTCGAATTCAAGCATGAATGTAAAGCAACAGAAATGAGTTGCAATCTCAACGCTACATTTAGTCAGTGAACTCTACGCTCGTAAATGTTCGCATCAGAGGTTTGGTGATGAAAGCGTGACGAAAGGGTAGTGGACGAAAGAACGAAATCGATGACTGCCATCTCAGGACCTTAAACTGAAGCAAGTTCGTGCACGGCTGCTTGATGGCTTGCCGAAGGGATAGGATGAAGATATTGTTGTTCATTTCCTTCAGAACGAGAAACTACATTGACTTGCAGTTTTCTCCATCGAGAATGCAAAAATTGCACACTATCAAATGCAAGACTTTTCCATGAAAGTGAACTAGACATACATGGTGATCACTACCACTACCTTACATTATTCCTGTCCATTTCAATATGCTCGCTTGCCGAAATAGTAGCAACAAACCATGATACTTTACAAACGCTTTAACCAGCTCGATTAAAAGTAACATAGCTTATAAGTGAAGTCCTCGACAAGATTACCTGTTCAAGAATAAATAGCACTAGATCGATATCATATGATAATGATGGTATGGCAGAATACAAACGAGAATACGAGACCGGCGAATTCCGTTGCATGTAGAGGAATCAACGTGTTTTTCGACTATACAAGAACAAGCATGCCAAAGACAATAAAATAATTCTGTTTGAGAGATGAAAATAGAGCATAACGGAAATTATATACAGTGGTTTGGCGAGATGATATTAAAGGAACTCGATTTTTTATGAGAATCACCAGTCAGGTACCACCCCCTTCCCCATGGTTCACATCCCGCCTCATCGTGACTGGGAAGACGAAGGTATGCGATTGACCAACTGATATGCACAGTGGTGATTCAGCACCACATAGGATCTCCGAAGCTCTCGACATCTACATCTGAAAACCGAGCTAAGTGTAAACCAATGCTAAGAGACACCGTCAGTGATTACTAGCTCCTAAATGAAGTAGATCTGGGAAAGCTTTAAAACGGTTTCCGCGAAATGATGCCCAAAAGTGGGAGCAGCACTTCTCAGCTCTTGCAAATGTGGCGGAACTGGGACGTAGGAATACGAAGACAAAAGCAAATAAGGTAATACAAGAACTGGTAATCAAACCAATGTAGGGCGGCTAGCAATATATTTCTTAGAGCACAGGCATAGTCACTATGATGACGTCATTGGGGTACACTGACAAGCTGTTAGCTCACGCGCAGTCCAATTTTGGTTGTCAATTCTCCATCTAACTTACATCCCTCAGCGGCCGGATACAGAAGCTAACAACCGACGGGTAACCTGTTCTAAGCTATCTAGAAGCAAACGGCAAATTTATAAATGGCACACGAAGATGGTTGACCCATCTCCAATTGAAGCCTTACCTTTAATGCATAGGTGCTGTGTTGACCACCATAATAAATGTTCGGATACTATCGAATTTCATAATTGAGCTATCACATTTATAAAGGTTGAAGAATGACGAAGATTGAAACACGAGTTTTTCTTTCTTTCAAATTACTGGTTTTTACCAACAAAACTTAGTATAACTACGGAACTGAAGATTCCGATACGAACACATCGTTGTTATTATCGAAAATTTGCGTTCACTTTCAACTTGGTAGAAACAGCTCTTAGGTACGGTGAAAGCGATCATTGTTGCATTTCTGCTGTGGATTTCGCATCCACGCCCACACTGGGCAGTGTGCGACGACTCCACCGACGACACGACGTCTGACTCACGAGCTGCTTCATCTCGAAGTCATTCCGATAGATCGATGCTCCGTATCGATCGCAGCGAAGTCGAAGACCTTCTACCAATAAGTTCCAATTGAAACTACGTGAACTTCTGATTCGAAAAATACATAATGATCACATTCACTGCAGTGCTGTAACTTTCTTCCACTGCTCTCTATTGTTCCTTCATCGAATGTTTACACCTATGAAGCAAATGCGAGAGCACTCGCACAATGAGAAGCGGCAAATCTGAGGTAGCGCAGCAGAAGAGTGAAACAACAACGTCAAAGCGTCGATACGATCTTGCACATTTCAACACTATACGATCCATTTCCCAAACATTCCCATTAACTTGGTTCTATTGTGCTTTCTATCCAGTGGTGATATTATTCAATACAGTAATCTCTTCTCCATTGTTTCTCCTCCTATTGAACGTCGGTGCTTCCACAATTGTTTGCACAATGACAAACAGTTTATCGCTTATCACCTCCACCTATCAAAAACGGTCATGCATCTTCTAGCAAACAATAAACAACAGCCATCTCGGCCATTATTTTTAAGATTTATCGAAACTGAACAGAGAAATAAAAACAGAATGAACAAAATAAAAAGTAAAACGAACAACAGTAAGATAAATAAAATTAAAACGAGATGAACGGAATAAAAAATTGAGGCAGAATAAAGAAAATGGCCTCAGTTCCTGCTGGCGGCAGAATAACACCATACATGTACGTTACATGTCAGAATAGTGCAGTTTGGCGATATACTTACTGTGGAAGCTACCAAGGTATAAGTAATCATCCGCTTGCGATACCTAAAAAAAGCTTTCGTAGTTCCATGTAATCCTGTATAACGGAGATCAGATGTACTATCAAATATTTCGAATAACCGAATATTCGACATTCGACAAATTTTACAAGTCAGCGAACGATTGGCTTTTATTTGACGTTGAGTTCTAGTTCATCATGGACAGTAATTTCAGACGTATATTGGAGAAATACTAACCATATGGATAAGGCAACGATAGTATTGTTTTTCTTATCTGTTTATTTAATCGACTTGCTTGAAGGTCAATACCTACGAACCTTTGAAATTCAAAAACCACCTGACTTCCTGATAATTAGAACGCATTTGGGAGTTTGCCGGTTTCTCGATAACTGACGATAACTTCCCAAATAGAAGTGTTTCAGGAGGTGGAAATCTCACAGAATTATTGGGGAAATTTCACTTACAATAATCAAAAATTTTCTATTTACTGTCTATTTTTTTCACGGCATGGTAGCATGCGAAGTACAACCACAACGACGCTGCGATATTTACAAAACTTGGACTCTAGACTAGCTTCGAACCCGTAGCTGCCCTTTCTCGGGACTCACCTGTTGCCTACTGCGCAACAGAAACACTTGCTTTACCTTTGTATCAGCCAGTTCTTTTCTTTTAATTAAATATTTCTTCAACGGTCTTAGTATAAGTTCAAGTGCATTCAAAACTCGAATTGCCAAAAATCTAAGACAAAGTTTAAATTTTAAATTTTTTTTAAAAATTTAAATTTTAAATTTTTTTTTTCGTGGAAACCAAAAATAGATTGGGAAAAAGCATCGTGTCCTACTTAACAAATTATCAATACCGTAGATGAGAGATAGACGAAACGAAGAACCCACATGGTGTGATAGTGGACGCGTTAGCCGCCGGAAAGGGTAAGCGCGTTCGTTCCCCACCGCTGACACCTACGGTCAGGAGTTTTGCAGATATATTTCAACATAACTGTGGTTGTGTCACACGTAATACCATAACATGAAAAATGCCAAAATCTCAGTAGTTGGTCCACTTTTCTTCAGGAAAAACAACGATCAAAGTCTCACCAATGTACAATAATTAAACATGCGCCGTATCCGTAAAAATCCGTAGATCCCAGTGGTTCCTATTTCAATTAATAATGTTCAATTCGAGCAGAGACATGTTGGCTTAAATTCGAAAGCGGTCATTATTTTTGTCAAATGCATTGTACGCAATTCATCTTATTTGATGTGAACTCGTTGCAACCATTTACCGAAATACATCGTTACCCATGCAGAGGTTTTATGTTCGTTGTGGAGCTGCTTAACGTTGTTAAAATTTGCTAGAAAACAAACAAAAATGATCTTCTGCTCGAACACCGTATCTACGATAAAAGGGAATGATTTATAAACACGCAATAGACGAAAGAAGGACCAGCACCATGCGTCATTTGATAGATGGGGTGGCTCACTTGAGAGACGTCTTGAATGTGTGTGCCTTTGGTGTCGTGCAACGATTGCGTGATTTCACCCTGAGCATCCAACTGTATGATGATCGCATGAGCAGGCCGTACCATATGTAGATATTTTATCCACCAATGTGATGGAACAACCTGTAAATAATATTAGTCGAAAACGTTCGACACCGTTCCGCCAAAAACGTCTTGAGAACAACTCGGTCAGATTAGAGAAATGCTGAAAAACAGTGGTAGAACCCATAAGTTAAAACACGGCTGAGAGAAAGGCGATACGAAAGACTCTCAGAAGACCGACATTTTGTACTCACGGTTCTAGACATTGCTCAGACATATCCTCTAATATTTTTGTCACAAAAGAAGATCAATAGTTACTTTAAAAAAACCAAACAATATTTTTAATGATAATAATTAATTTCTCCCCAACCATTTAAATTCTCTGTAAATCCACTCAACGAATTTAGCCCACTACGCGCTTCAAAATAGCATCAGTCCTACAGAAAGATGATCAGACAGAGATGGTAAGACAACGCTTGCACCATAGAAATGCAGGTTTCTAGCAAATTTTCTCAGTGAAACTGAACGTTATTGCATTTTACATTATAAGAAATACAACCTCCATGTTAAAATGCAAGCAATAAAATTTATATATCTTGAAAATAAGTGATTCACCATTAACTCCACAATGTCGTTGCAGTTTCGTTCATTTCATACATTGCTGACCATGCTGACTTTCGGCTACTCACTCTATCAGTCTTCAGTCATCCGGACGAAAGCGCCATCTCTTGCAAACAGTCGACCCTGTTTCTTGTAGTTTTCGATCCACTGATGTAAAATCCCTATGAAACCTTCATTTCGCCGACGACATCGTCATCTTTTCAAGAAGTAACAACGAAGCAGAGACGATGCTGAAGGAGTTCAACGAAACAGGAGAAAAGATTGGACTACGCATGGATGGTTCTCTGATTACAGAAACCACCACGGATATCAACTTTGGACGTTCAATGAAAACAACATTAAAAAGGCATTAGATAGAAAAAGGAGAGCAACATAGGCCGCATTCGGACCTCTCAAAGAAGATATCGACCAACCAACGGACATAAAACTCCGCACTCACCTTCTCAACTCAACAGAACTCCCAGCACTCTGTCATAGAGCAGAAACATCCGCTGATGACCACTCGAAGAATTTTGCGCGCTACCCATAGAATGATTGGACGACGTATTCTCAAATTTTATTGACACTCATAGCGTCTTGGGGGAAAGCGCTGCTCATATCCTCGAAACGTATCCCATCTTCACGACTCAAGAAAATATACGTGGAAAACAAAGCAAAGACTAACCTACCATGTAACACAATAATAAACACAATAAGTGACAGATGGACGAAAAGAACAACGGAGTGAACTTCAGCAGAATGCAAGCGTGCACTTGGAACACTACAGATGGACAGACGTGTTCGTGGCTAACGTCAACCATCTGCATTCGCAGATGGCAACAGTTTTAGAACAACAGAATAGACTTCGCGGACATAATCATGCTCGAAGCAGACCACCTTCATCAATGACGACTGCAAGAGAAGCCAACCACTGAACATTCTGCTGGGGCAAAAACACTACCAGTAGAAATATAACTTAATGATGCTGAGGTATTTGCAAACTCCGGACCGCAGGTGTCTGCGGTGGTTAACCAACGCGCTATTATCCTTTCGGGGGAGTAACGCGTTCACTACCACACCATGCGGGTCTTTCGTCTCGCCTGCCTCTCAGCTAATTCTACCGATCTTCGCCAACAATAAAAAGAGAAAGCAATAAATAATAAGTTAAAACTATGGTTATAACTACAGCCTCAGCTGAACTGGGTTCAATGCCGATTTGGGCTCCGAAGATCAAACCCGTTGACGGGTGATTGCTGATAACAAAAGATCGATAGAACTAGCTAAGAGACATGCGAAACGAAGGACCCGCATGGTTCAGTGGTGAACGCGTTACTCCCCGGAAAGGATAATAGCGCGTTCGTTCCCCACTACAGACACCTGCGGTCCGGAGTTTTACAAATATCTCAGCATCACTGAAGTTATATTTCGCAATATACCCTGCCATTAAAAAGAGTAGGCAGTAAATTACTTGTTTCTTGATAATTAAACGACCCATCCTCACTGGTTGTGCGGGCCCCAGTATTATCTCCATTTTTCGGAGATTTGCTGATTAAGCCATTGTGGTTCACTGGAATCCCGAGGTCAGCCTGTCCAAAGTCTGCCCCAGGTCTTTACCACCACAGGCAGACGCAGCCTTTATGGATTAGAGGGAGATTTGCCACCATGCGACTTTGATACCAGGACGGTGGTGGGTCCCGGTATTGATATACTCTTAGCTAGGCTCCCTGATGGAGGCGCCGGACTCCTTCTCAGCTTAGAAGATCCTGCTAGGGAGGATGAATCACCATGCTGTACATCGCAGTCCGACACCCAGGAACACCTCCCAGCCACGATGAGGCGGTAAACCGTTGGGAGGAGGCAGTAAATAATAAGTTGAAACTGTGATTATAACTACCAGTACGGATGAGTCATCCATTCTAATCCTAATCCATTATCCATACAATTATCTGTGTTTCTTATATCCTATGTATCCTCTATATCCTTTAGGATGGTCGATGTTTTGCCCTAAGGTTTTAAACATTTTAACTTTCGCGTGCCGTGACAGGAAACTCTTCTTCTATCCAATGTGGGAAACATACTACTGTCAGATTTTGGTAGTTGACTTCATAAGATATTTGTTTGTCATGTTAAACAATCGTACTGACTGTGGAACGAGTTCCAGGCTACTTGTGACGATTTCCTGCACTAAATTACTCATTTCTTGGCTTCTATTTGCAAATGTTGGACTCATTTACTACGTCGAAGACTCTCCTTGAGGGACTAACTCCCACCGTACGTCGTAGTTTGACACTCAGGAACACCCAGAGGGCAATGGAACAATAAGTTTCTGGGACAGGAGACGTTAGAACACTGTACTTCACTATGCTGTCAAAAGCTGGACAATGATAGAGCTCCGAACCACATCTCAAGGGTAAATTTAAATCGTTAGAGTGATACCTTAACTTTTTCATATCTAATAGATAAGATAATCAATTGTAAAATTTTTAATCTGAGTGAAATCATCCTGTGTCCATGACCCACCAAGCCTTCCATCCTCCAGGGTTCAGCGAATTGATACTAGACTTGTCTGGGAGGATAGCAGCACTGGCTCGATACATCGGTAGGCCACCGCGAGTCATTGTAAAGGCCAGATATGCATTCAGTCACCTCCAACGATACTTAGTGAAGTCGAATGCATGGCGTATACCTCAGGGATTGATCAACGCCGAGAGCTTTATTTATTCATGAAGTGAAATCATTACAGAACAGAAATTTTGTCATAAAAGTGATAAAGTGTACCAATAATAGCAGAATATCTACGACTGGCACATGTCAGTCTAAACTTAGGAAATTTTACTGCACAGCAATGCCGCACTGCAAATCGTATACCGGACATAGAAGTTGAAGGAACCGGAAAAAAAAACCACCCAATCCAGCACACTTCGGGGATCTCTCGTCCCAAAGGAATACCAGACTTTCAAGAATCTCGACATCGATTAGTTAAGAAGATCGTCAACAACAAATTTGATGCTGAGAATGCTTTCAACAAATTTGTGGACGTCAGAAATCCATGATTTCATTGTGGTGTGATTAGTTTACAAGTTTTGGCAGAGATGTGTAAATACGATGATGCTTAAGATTCCCGTTTCCACTAAAGAAAAGTCCATTATGGGCTTAAATTTTAGCATTTCGAGATAAAATATATAGGAAGTACGAACTCACATCAAGCAAAATCTGTCTAAAAAGTGTATAGGAACCCAATGCATCGATTAGAGAAGGAGAATCGATATGACGTACACCTGAAGAATTCGATCTGTCAATAATACCGGTCGAATAACAGCCTTTATAAGAGTTATTCTTTTGTTCTCCCTCAATAATCATTTCGCTGGTGAGTTTCGAGACTTAGACAAACAACTTTTTTAAAACTTTTCAAACTGAATGGAACCCACCTGCCATTCCGACCCACAGTGTACCATTGGCACCTCTCCGAATGTTATCCGGAAAACCGGGTAGATTAATGGCGAATGGTGTAACTTCATTTGTTTGCAAATTCAATCTTAACAATTTCAAATATTTTGTCAGAAAAACAGCATTCACTAAGGTCATTACTTTTTTCAGAGAACGGAATATTGTCAGAAAGAGCAATTGCCCTTGACAACGAAGTTCAGAGGAAAACCTACAAATGTCATACCTGTGAGAACCTCGAAGAACATACTTCTTATGTTTTAACTTTTATATTTACGACCTATTGTTTTTTTATGGCAGGTGGTATGTGAAACACAACGAAGAGGATGTTGCGATCTGAGCAAAACCAGGAACCCCAGCTTGGCTTTGAACCTGAGACTACCCTTACCGGGGATCACGTGCTGTTCACCAGAGTAGCCGAAGCTCTTGCCTCGCGTTTCGCTTCCTGTTTATCTTTTCTTACTTTTCATGTCGGTTTCGTTGACTTGTTAGATTTTTTAGGCGTTCTGTTCTGTGTATATGCTCAAATCTTCTCTGGAAGCCATGATTAAAAAAATAAATAAGCAATTAATTACATAAACGAAAGGAACTCCACTAGAGAACGGTGTTTGGAAATCGTTTGCAGGGACCAAAATTTCCTTTCTTTTCCCTCAAGAATATACCGAAAACAGCAATACAAAAGCCACTGACCGACTAATCATAGCTTTACTACATTCTGCAAATAGTGCAGACTTCCCGTCGGGATGAAGCTATAAAGAATAAGTTCAATAAAACGTCTTGTGATTCAAAGCAGTACAAATGTACCTGTATTCCATTAGGAAAATAGAGCTTGTCAGCAACAACCTCGGTTTTTCCTGTCGAAATCCTGTGTTTGAATATTCTGCAATGGAAAAACAACGGCTCATGTGAACCACATAGGGATTAGAATGATTTGATAACAGACCACATATTTTATAGAATGAAAATTGAAAAAGCAGATTAACTTTTTCACTTATTGCCTACTACAAATTTTTCACGGCAGGTTATTATATGAAATTCAACCACAATGATGCTGAGATGTTTGCAAACCTCCGGACCGAAGTTGTCTGCGGTGGTGACCGCACCCGCTATTACTCTTCGTAGAGGCTAACGCGTTCACCACCACACCATACGCGATTTTCGTTTCTCCTTTCTCTCAGCTAGTTTTCTATCTACCTGTGCCATCAGCAATCACCCGTCAACGGGATTGATCTGGAGAGCACAAATCAGCATTGATATCGACGTGTTCACGAAAGACTCGCATGGTGTGGTGGTGAAAACGTTAGTCTCCGGAAAGAGTATTAGCGTGTACAGTCTTCCAGCAGACACCTGTGGTCCGGAATTTTGCAAATACCTCAACATAATTGTGGTTGAAGAAGTAGTGCTTTATAAAACCTTTAACCACACTTATTTATCTCGTTGTGTTATCAGACCATTAAATAATTGACATCAATTTCTTGATCATTAGAGTATTTCAAAAGTCCAGAAAAAAAGTTGTAGACTTATTTGGCACCTGAGAAAACATCTTTTCTTGTTGACCAAGCATCATTTAGTGTGGGTATTTGAAAAATCTCATAGCAACGTCGTGTTATCTTAGCAGTGAAACGATACATTTGTATATTTATATAAGAGACCTCGTTATATCGGATTAATCTCACATAGTAATTCCCATGACCGACTTTCTGTTAACCTCGGCATTAATTGATAATTCAATGTTTTTCATCAATAAGCAGACACGAGGTTGTTAATATAGAATTTATTAGAACACAATAGCTGACGTTTCGGCGGTTTCGCCTTCTTCAGAGCCTGGAAAGGTCAAATTGAGATGTGATCTACTCAGCCAAACACTTTCATAACCCTAGCAGATAAAACTTGATAAATCGATTTTCATTCGCATAAGAAACAGCTTCATTCAAACACCTACCGTTTATTTGTTGTAAGTATTTAAGTTAGTTGGTGGATAACCGCCGCACAGAGTAATACATGGTCGATAACTGGGTCCATGTCAGGTCATTGGATCAGCCTGAGGTATGGCGCTAGGCGTTATCGACCATGTATTACTCTGTGCGGCGGCTATCCACCAACTAACTTAAATACTTACAACAAATAAACGGTAGGTGTTTGAATGAAGCTGTTTCTTATGCGAATGAAAATCGATTTATCAAGTTTTATCTGCTAGGGTTATGAAAGTGTTTGGCTGAGTAGATCACATCTCAATTTGACCTTTCCAGGCTCTGAAGAAGGCGAAACCGCCGAAACGTCGGCTATTGCGCGCTAATTAATTCTATACTAACAACCTCGTGTCTGCTTATTGATGAAAAACATTGAATAATCTCACATAATTCTTATACGGAGTTCTTTCAAGTTTAAACTTGTTTAGAATTAAAGCTTTCAAAAAATTGTTTAAAAAGTCTAAGATTTCTTTAGAATTTCCAACATAAGACTAACGACTGCAAATATAAAGTGGGAGGACACCAACGTGTCATCCTTGCGCCAAAACTTGGGGTTCAGTTGTCTTCATGTTTGAAATATGAGGCCAAAAATATGTCCCGTTTGCTCTAGAAAGTCAGAATTTCACCATGGTAGAATAAAATAACACGTAACATGGAAGTATAGATCTATTGGTTTAAAGCGGGAAATGGCCATAATGTTCGCATCGGCTGCATTGTACACAATGCAAACCAGATGTTATGTATTAATAAATGTCAGCATAAACTACTGTTGTAGTAGTCAAATATTTATAACTAGAGGAGACAGTAAATGTACCTAATTCACTCATATATGCAAGTGGTAAGCTCAAAAGTCTATCAGTAGACAACAGCTGTTGGTTCTCTATTAACGGATAAAATGAGCAACAATACTTAACTAAATTGGAGCGCTCTCTACCGCTAAGATACCACAAAGTAATTCTCGATATTCTAGTTGAGCAAACAAGCGGTGTTAGTTTATTCTTTATTTCGTTAAAGTTGACGTTTCGACTCAATGAGACTCATCAACCATAGGTGACTTCTTCAGCGGAAGCCACGTAAAAACGGCTCTGAAGAAGGCGATACTGCCGAAACGTCAGCTTTAACAAAATAAAGAAGAAAGTAACACCTCGTGCTTGCTCAGCAGGAATATTGAGAATTATTTGATCTATGCCGAGACTAATAGAAAGTCGGCCATAAGTGTCACAAAGTAACTCCCTCAAGCGAGCACTCGAGCTCGTTGTGGCTTGCGAAGCAACGTAACGCCGCGGAAGGTGTAGAAGGAACCCTGAGGCACACAGGCAAAGTAAGGATGTGATTCCAGCTGATCATTTCTGAAATAACCTGTACCTACAGTGTAAAAATAACGATATCGTTAACACGGAGGTATGTGTGTTTGCTTGAATACCGCTTGTACCTTGCACGTCGATGACGTCCAGAAGCCAGTAATCGAGTGACAAGGGAGCACATAAGTGGTTCGGCATCTCCTGCAGTAAGTACTTAAATCTACTACCGTACACTATCCAGCAGCAGCAACACAATGATTTTCACCGGGGTTAAATAACGTTTGCTTGAAAACTATTGTTTTGCTACTAATGTGCTAGCTAACCGACAGCTGCAGGATGGACTATCCGTCGAAAGACAGATTATTACCTACGAATAGCCATATCAACAACTATCATACTGTATAAACGGGTGTTGCTGCATGAATTTTCTTCATTCAGGTGGTGTTCAACCTGAGAAGATCCGTCTCGGTACGACAAAGTAGACGCCACATCGAGTAGATGAACAATTCTGCACCATCGACTCGAATCATCAGCACTGACAAAGAATAAAGAACAAGTATAAACGTTAGCCGAATAAATCTCTTTGGAAACTTCGTGTTAGCTTAACAATCCAAGAAAGTAGTACCAGCAAAGCACCTTGTCCCGAAAAAACCCCTGAAAAATACAACACTGGGATACATAGAGTATTTGTACAAAAACTGAAGCCCTGATAGATCGTCAAAGTCTGGAAGGACTACGAAGAAGATTAGAAAAAAAAGATATATTCGACCGAGATCAAAAGAGCTACTCGCAATTCGTGTTACTGGTAAACGCCGAACGTCAGAACATATAACGGCAAAAAAAGGTTGTTAACATAGTGTGTTTGTTGACAGTAGGTTGACTGTAAACATCGACACCTTTACAAAACGGATCTCTGTCAACTACTCCCCAAAATCAGAATACAACCAATATTCCATCGATGAGGCTTAATATATTTTTCTTATCCTTATTTTTCTTCTTTTCCTATTCTATTTTCTTCATCCAGTTTTTATCCTATCATATGAGGTTGGAGAGGTTCAGAAACCGAGATCGTATGTCCATGTCAAAACCATAAAGGTGAGAAGTTTAAGAGATCATACTGAATTGGAATATTTTAATGACAGCAGGTTTTTCGGAAAATACCGCTATTATTCACATGATTACGAATACAAACAGGTCAGTACAGGCTTTCTGGACATAATAGAAAAGCTAAGTTTAAAAAACCCAGAGACGTCGACTATTAACTCATGTCCGTGGGCAAAAAGCTCTGTTAAACAGCAATAGAAAACATCAAAGAGAGAAACGAATCGAAACTATATGAAACTGTAAACGGCTGAGAAGACTATCTGTAGTTTACTTTTTATTTTCTGTCTTCTATAATTTTTATGACAGGATACTGAGCGAAATACAACCACAATATTGCTGAGATATTTGCAAAACTCCGAACCGCAGGTGTCTGCGGTGGGGAACGAATGCGCTATTGTCCTTTCTGGGGAGCAACGCGTTCACCACCATACCATGTGGGTCCTTCGTTCCGCCTCTATCTCAGCTAGTTCTATCGATCTTTTACCATCAGCAATCACCCGTCAACGGGATTGATCTGGGAAGCAACCTTTCTGTTTACAGCAACTCGTAAAAAAAATATAACTCGGAACGCGTTACTCCCCGGTAAGGACTGTAGCGTGTTCGCTCCCAACCGCAGACAACTGCGGTCCAGAGTTTTGCAAATATCTCAGCATCACTGAAGCTATATTTCGAAAGTTATAAACATCATTATCAACCTCGTGTAAGCTCATCAAAGAAAGAATACATATTGAAGTTATATTTCGCAATATATACCCTGCCATTAAAAAGCGTAGGCAGTAAATAAAAAGATTAAGATTGTGACTATCTGTACTATTCGTGTGAATATCACCCGTCACCAGACCAAGATGACCAATCTGAGACATCCAAACGGAATAATCGCTTATCCAGGCAAATAATGGAGATGAAGGAGGCCATCCAAAACTTTTACTCTTACTCTTTCGACACCATATCTACGTGATGTTCTATGATGTTAGGGAGGACAAAGCACCTCCTAGCCTTTCAACAATGTGCATTTGAGTCAGTAAGTCGCTATGACTAATGACTTAACTTGTTAATAAGCTCGCCCTGCGTAAATACCAATACTAATCTCATCCAGCGTTCCAATGAGATTTCGAACACAAAAGCTGATAAGTGCGATAACGAAGCAATGGAGATGGCAAAGAAAATTCGACTCCACTACATCTTATTAATTCAGCAGCATTCTTTGCTTTGACAATACCTTTGAAACTAGAACGTCACTAAAGAAAGATCGAACGCCTTAAACGAGGGAAATTCTAGGAATATCCCGTGCCACGCAAGTGAAAAGGATGAATCTTGCGTCCCAACATGTACCACTTACGGTGCCACTTAAACCAAGATTCCAGCGCCTAATGACAATTATTATGCAAGGACCCTAAAATAACGATGTCAAGCATATAGCAGCATCACCGAACTAATGGTCAGATTTCTTAGCAACACCTGTGAACCAAACATTCCATGTTTTCCAAGGAAGTAAAATCCATTAATCAACTCTGGTATGCGATCGAGAGATTAATGCTTCATTGGCATCCATTCGAATTACGTGATGGTCAAAGCAAAAACACCTGGTGTTGATTAAACAAAGAATATTCTTGTGAATCCAGTGCCAGAATAATAAAAGATCAAGGATAAGTGTTCTTGTTGATTAATGCATGAGGCATGCGTCATGCATTCAACTCCAATAGACATAGTAGAGATGATTGAATGCATATCTAGCCTACATCATGACTTACGGTTGTCTACATATGTATTAAGCCAGTGCTTTTATCTACTCTGAAAAATTTGGTACCAATTTCCCAATTCCGGAAAAATGGAATGCTTAGTGAGCTCTGGTAGAGGTATGGAAACGAAGCGTGTATTCCAGAGCATCCCCAACTACTTCGTTTCAAGTGCCCTTAACGCTGAGATAGTACAAAAGAAACCTGTTAATGTGTTGAACGTTAAGACCCATAGGAGGTAAATTGAAAAAGTACACATCTTTAGTATTTCGATAGCATATTTTATGTGGTCTAATTTGGCGGTCACGTTGAAAATCGGTATTTCAAAGTTGAACGATTCGATAATGGCTACTGAGTCCTATGCCTCTATAAACCGGTCGTTGAAATGGCGATAATGTTAACTTTTTATTTGTTGCCTTCCACAATTTTTAATGGCAGGGTACTATGTGAAATACAACCACGATGGTGCTGAGAAGTTTGCAAAACTTCGGACCAGAGATGTCTGCGGTGAGGAACGAACATGCTATTACTCTTTCCGGTGGTCAACGCATTCACCACCACACCTTGCGTGTATCTAGTTCTCTACAGATCAGTGCCATCAGCAATCACCTGTCAACGGGATTGATCTGGGCAGCCCAAACCAGCATTGAACTCAGTTAAGCTGAGGCTGTGATTGAAATCACAACGTTAACTTTTTATTCCTCCCAACCGCCTTATCGTGGCTAGGAGGTATTCCTGGGTGTCGGACCGCGATGTACAGCGGAGGATTCATCCCCTTGCAGGGTATCCCAAGCTGAGGAGTCCGGTATTTCCATCAGGTAGCCTAGCTAAGAGTAAACCAATACCACGATCCACCACCGTCCTGGTATCAAAGTCGCATAGTAGCAAATCTCCCTTTGGTCCACAAGGACTGCGACTACCTATCGCTGTGAAGACCTGGAGCAGACTTTGGCCAAACTGACCTCGGAACTCCAGGGAACTATAATGGCTTAAGCAACAAATCTCTGAAAAGTTGAGATTATGCTGAGGCCCGCACAACCAGTGAGGACGGGCCATTCAAGTATCAAGTAAGTAACTTTTTATTTGCTGCCTTCTAGAATTCTCAGTGTCAGGGGAATGGCACTGATCGATAGAAAACTAGTTAAGAGGCAGGCTAAAAGGAGGACCCACGTGGTGTAGTGGTGAACGCATTAGCCCCCGGAAAGGAAAAGACGATAGTTAGAATGGAGAGATAAAAATTTGGACGGTAAGAAATTAGTGGCTAAAATCAAAAAGTAATTATTGAACTTGAAACAATCGCGTTTATAACTGCTGCCGATATTTTTTAAACACTAATTTGACCCATAAAGCTCAACAGTATACATAGTTCACCTTCCATTTGGTTCAGATTCTAAAAATATATTAAATAGATGACGACGATCCCACTTCGATGAGCTGTCTGTGAATATGATCTCGTCCTCATTCAGGACCTGAAAATGAAATCTAGAAAACCTCTAATAAGAAGGTCTCCTATTCCATAATTTACTCCCGTAAGCTTCTACCTCAATATCATTTAAAAATCGCATGAAACGACCTTCGATAGGTGTGTTGCTCTTCACAACGTGTCTGAATGTTCCTAAATTAACCTCGTTTCTTAGTACGAATACCACTGCAAGATTATTAAAGATTGCTGCTCACCCCTCCGTTCTAAGAAAGACAATCAATAAAAAATCAGCTAGATTTGTAATAGTTTTAATAGAGCAAAATTAAAGTATCTAACCGAAACGAACTCAGTAGGTTTTGTGAAACTGGGAATTTCTACAATGCGAATAAGAACAACCTGCATTAATCCTTTAGTGTCCAAACCCTTCGCTCGACTTGCACATGGCTTCGGTTGAAAAACAGATAAACCTTTGTGAAATAAAAATCCTGTCAACGGTTTAGCGCCTCATAGTGGTTGGGAGGTGTTCCTCGGTGTCGGGCTGCGATGCACAGAGGGAAAATTCATTCCCCCGGCAGAGTCTCGCAAGTTGAGGAGTCCGGCGTTTCTATCAGAAAGCCTACCTAAGTGTAAGCCAACACGAGGATCCACCACCGTCCAGGTATCAAAGTCGCATAGTGGCAAATCTCCTTCTGATCCGCAAGGGCTGCGACTGCCTGTCGTTGTGAAGACCTGGGGCAGACTTTGGCCAAGCTGACTTGGCGACTCCAGGGAAACACCGTGGCTAAACCAGTAGATCTCCGAAAAAGTGGAGATTATGCTGGGACATGCACAACCAGTGAGGACGGACCATCCAAATATCCAATTAAGTGAAATAAAAATTTTATAGAAGTTGCGCTATCCACTCATTCAACTAATCTGTTGTCATTAACAGCACTTTAGTAAAACTTGTTTTGTCAGCGATATGGTTAATCAGAAATTTACTCTGAACCATATCATGAATATTTCTGCTTCCCCTATACCAATGCAGCCAATATTAAACTAAGCCATTAGAAAAATCGAGTACTGTGACCAACCCTTGCTTAAATTAACGACGAAAACTCCAAAATATGCATCGGCGACGACCATCTCATGCTCATTAAGGCGACGGATTCCTAGGGGACGTCCACAAATTGGCTCACTATCAATAGAACCTAAGAACAGAAGCGGTTTTTGTACTTGGCAAAAAAGTCGCCTTTGAAGATAACAACGCTAAAACAAATGCTTAAGACAAACCACATCGCTCTGCCTTAGTGAGTCGCACTTCCTCAATTATCTTGCCATTCTTTATATGAACAAGTCGTCCATCGTAGAGACCGGTATATATAGAGTCTGGAAAACCACAGTAATCTTAATTTCTATCACAAATGATTAAATTTGCAAGTGGATGCTTAGAGCGACAGCACAGGGCTCTATCGCTCGTGTCTGAAAATGTACAGGTCTCAGAAATTGTTTGATAATTAATCTTTTAGTAGCGGATGTGAGCAAAGTAGTGGCAATGGTGCCATTTATTACGAACAAGACGCTACTTTTTCCCGCCATGGGTCCATCAAACCTCCTATCCCTTCGGCGTGGAGAAATTCGTAGCAGATTTGTGTGGAAAATAGCTCATCCCTCCAAACCGCAAAGGCTAGCGTTGGCCTGTGATCAAAAAACCGGAAGCGCCCTAGCATGTCCTAAACGCCCTAGTACGGGTATTGGTGGATTCCAGGAAGAATCGACTGACTCAGCATTCAGCAATTTTCGTAACAAAGGCAAAAAATCGCAACCAGCAGCTATCACACGCAGAAGTTCGAAGGCCTTCGCCGATGGTGCATGAAAGCAGTTGAATCTAATACAAAAAATGGTGTGATCCACACAAAGTGTGATGCCAGACCACTTTTTAAAAAAATCAATTTTACTTGATCCTCTCATAGCGCAAAAATTATTAAAACATCAACTCCACGTACATATTTAGCACGACCATCATTAGAAAGAAATAATCTCTTTATACTCTCGTATGGAGTGGAGCGCAGTTGTTAGGGGAGCTGTGCAATACTCACTTGGTTTTTGGTTCAACCCTAGCTCGAGCTAATCAAGCCATCCATCCCTCAGGGGTTGGTAAATTGGTACCAGATTTGTCTCCAAGAGTAGCGTCGATAGGCCAACACAAGTTGTAGAGGCAAGATATGCATTCAATCACTTCTAAAGATGCTAAATACAGTTGAATGAATAGCGCATCCTTCAGGGATTGATGAACGCTGAACGCTTTATCTTCTCGCCTTCATGCTCACTCATGATAGCTAAAGATTATTTTCGCAAAAAAAAGTACTAATGAGATTAAGGAAACGCAAGAACTTCTTTTTTGGAATTCGATTATGTGCATCCATTAAGAAGTAGAGGAAGAAAAGACATTATTTCCTTACCCTACAGTTTACGTGACCACTCTACATATCCACTATGCGAATCTCAGTTCTTCTTGAATTCGACTTGTTTCCTCACATCCGTTATACACGAAGGTCTTCGAACTTTGTGCGTGTGGGCTCGGCCGGTGCTTGAAGATTGCCGTCATCCTTATGAATTTAGTTGAATGCCGACCCAGTTGATTCCACCCGGAGTCCTGGGGAGAGCCGGGCTAGAGCGTTCCCACTTGGATTGTAGGGAATAAACTGTTCCCAGTTAGACCAAGTATCAACTTCCCGATCCAGGAGAGATAGGAGTCTAAGTAACCGCGGGATGGAGTCGAACCAGTACCGTGCTGGTAAAGCACACAGGAAAACATATAAATATCTAAAATCAAAGTTTCCCAAGCCCACAGCGTCACGCATAGTTCTCCATGCACTTTACCACAATGTTATAAATGAATCAATCCTCTAGAACAGACATCATCAGCGAGAACTTTATAGGTCCCTCGACGAACAATCAATTTTAGTTTTAAACGTAGCTATGGATTTTTCGCTAGTTGCAAGATAGAAGTAAGACAATGAATAGATGAAAATATACCTCCCTCGACAACTAGAGACTCCGGACCAACAATTTGTCCTTTTAAAATGTACTCGACGTTTTGTAGCTTCTCATTTACAGCTAACGGACCAACAAGCCTAGGACGTTGAGGAAGCCTAAATTGGCAATAATGACTACTTTCTTAACCCTTTTGTTTACTGCCTTTTTCTTTTTAATGGCAGGGTATGTTGCGAAATATAACTCGTATATAATGCTGAGATATTTGCAAAACTCCGGACCGCAGTTGAATGCGGTTGGGAACGAACCCGTGCTGTTGTCCTTACCGGGAAGCAGCGCATCCGGGTCCGGATGGTGTGGTGGTGAAGTGCGCTGCTCCCCGGTTAGGACAACAGCGCGGGTTCGTTCCCCACCGCATACAACTGCGGTCCGGAGTTTTACAAATATCTCAGCATTATATACGAATGACTACTTTTTAACACTCGCGCTGACACTTAATTTTGGGTTTGCTGGCAAATGGACAACGTCTGGCTTTTATCCTCTATGGACTTGCTAGTTTTTTGAAACTAAATAATAATACAATGATAAAATAAAGGATACATCTCTTGGCGTTGATCAATCCCTAAGACATTGCGCCATGCAGTCGACTTCATCAAGCATCGTTTGGAGGTGACTGAATGCATGTCGATGTATCGATCCAGTGCTGCTATCCTCCCAGACAAGTCTGGTACCAATTTCCTAACACCGGAGGGATGGAACGCCTGGTGGGCCATGGGCACTAGGATTGGTTCCACGTGTGTGTTGCAGGGCGCCTCTGACCAGTGCGCCACACGCGCCAGACTGGTATAGACAATAATTTTTCGATAACTGGAATAAGTCGTGTGTTGTGAACAAGAATGAATTGTAGAAAAGGCTTTTCTCTTTTGTTATATGAGTATGAAAGATATTTATGATGCTACTTACTACATGTGACTAAGGTCCACCATATATACACATTACTCTCAGCATTTTGAAGCGTTTTGTAACTATGGGCCTCCATTTCAGGCATTTTTATACCCGTATATTCTACACAGAAACTATCGCTATAGCAATTACAACCGTAACAGTAGTGAATTAGCATCTAAATTTCTGGGTAGCAAACTCGTTCCGAAAACGGTTTTTGTATATTTCTAAGTGCGGAACAGAACGCTTCCCGACCAACGTCTAACACAACATATGTGCTCTACAAGTTACCAAGTGATGAAAAAAGTAGAAAGAATATTTCTAAGTGTTAAAACAATCCACCGGAAAGAAAGTGAAACCTATAGGTACCGGTTACTCCAGCATAGCCATTATGACACCTATAGGTGTCATCCATTGCGAGAGTGTTAAAGTGACCTCTAAAAACAATACGCCTTATTATGCCAGCAAAGCAAAGGGTAGTATGCAAAGCATATTAGACGTTGAGTAATGTCGCCAATTCTTTTTCTTTATTTACTGCCTACCAATTTTTGATGGCAGGGCATTATGTGAAATATGACCATAATGATGCTGAGATATTTGCAAAACTCCGGACCGGTGGTGTCTGCAATGAGGACCGAACACGTTATTTCCCTTTCCGAGGACTAATGCGTTCACCACCACACCATGACACGCAATTTTAAAAAATTTAAAAGCAAAAACTCACTCATAAAACTGAGCAGTTCTAGTGCTGGGATCGTTGTAGCGGTACCACAAAGCTGCCCAGGATATAAGTAATCCGCTGAAAATCTAGCGATTTTCACAAACTACACAGACTTGTACCATTACTGCAATGCCTCCATTATTTTTACAAATACGTAATGTGGTTTCCCACAAATAATCAAAGTGCTGATGTTAGGAGCAACAAAAATTTTGTAATACGTAAGCTCTGCGAAACTCACATAAGTCCGTAGAAAAACAGCTGCCCCAGTCTTAAGCGCATACCAGAACTGCTCCCACCTATGTCATAAAAAGACGTTATTTTGTAGTTTTTGAGAAATTCAAGACGAAAAGTACAACGTGCAGATCTAATCTCGCACAGCGAAACAGAATGAATGGTGATTCGAAGAAACATAATAGAAGCAAATTTACACCAATCGGCAACAGAATTTGGCAATTATACAAATAACCATGGATGTAGCTCAACTAAAGCATTTTGAATCGGTTAGTTCCGACGTTGTGTGGGGCATCTCTTTGAACTGTAGGTTAAACGCCAACGAAAACCCAAGTGACAAAACCTGTTCGGAGCCGAAGATAGATTCAATTCAAATGTACTCTCCTCGTCATGTGAGCATGACCAATACGTAACTTTTGCTTAATCATATTCATGCTCACTTTGTTGTGAAAATTCTATCGTCTACGCAGATCTTTACGAGAAACAGTTCGGCGTCAACTTCAAAGAGATCTCATGTTTTTTCGGTGTGCTCCCTAGAAACTATCATTAAGTTATGTATTCTTTCTTGATAAGCTTGCACGAGGTTGATAAATATATTTATTTTCGGCTAACGTTTCGACGTCTTCGTCTTCCTCAGAGCCGGTGATCCGAGTCGATGGTCCATGCTTGTTGTTCGCCTCGACGTTGCGTCTTCGCCTTCCTGTCGAGCCAGATCTTCCTCAGCGAGCCATCTTCTCGAATGAGGCATCCTCACTCAGTGATGCCCTTTTATACACGATGCTGATGGTTGATATATAATGACAATGTCCGGTGGTAACAACTTGTATTTCTTCCGGACATACATCATTGCGCACATCGTGCAGAGGTCGGTGTATTATCAGCTAGCACAAGGCGTAGTAATATTTCGAAACCGCCCTTCCCTAAACCTCGGTGTGACTAATCAATATGTATTCTTTCTTGTATCGAAATATCCTTAAGTTGTTACTCCGGTATCTACGACAGAGCCAGGCCAGCTATCGGGACAATGCACTAATTGAAAAATGTGGAATATAAAGATCTTCACAAATGTCAAACGTTTTTCGTGCCATTCTAGTTCTTTCGTGCCAAGCCCACCCCACAGGTCTAGCGTATGAACGAAAAAAAACTATCTTGTGTCACTTGATGAACAAAAGGTTTGAAAATATAAGATTAGAACGCAATAATACGCCAAATCGCATAGAGGTGCCCTTGAGAGCAGAAATGAGATGTTAAACGGCAGGTTCACATCACTGCAGGGTGAACCAAATTTCTGAGTGTAAGTTTCTACAACAAGTTCTACTTGAAGAGGACATGAATCCCATACTAACTTCATAGTAATTATTTGTGTATTAATTGAACGTCGACCTTTTTCCCGTTCGACAGCGTTAGAACTATCACTCAATACCTATGTATAGTAAAACTAGTTTGGACTGCTGACTCTAAAATTTAACTCGCAATGAAGGACATAGGTACGAGCAGA